CTCCAACCACTTCGAGTACCTCTGCAGCAACCACTGCGAGTACCTCTGCAGTTTGACCTCATCCAACTTAGACTCTTGAATGAACAAACCGTCCATTTTTTCCGCAAAGAGCCAAGACTTAATCCTCCTCCTTTTTCTCCTATCATGTGGATTACCCATGCCCCTCACATTCCAAGAAGCAAGTTTAAGTTCGACCATTGGGGTAAGACACCGCTACTTGATCTTGGATGCGGTTTGCAGGGTTGGCAGTTTCATCCCGGCATTTGGGATTTCCCTCTAGAGGAGTATGGGCCATCGGACTGTCTCTCGAGGGCTCGTTTGAGCCCACCGACGTCGTGGATGATCTCCATGGCGCGAATAGGGAGTCCCGTATAAAGAACGAGTGAAGATTCTCTCCTTCTGCCAACTTCTCATTCACGTGTAGGAGGACCAACGCTAAGATGCTGGCTGTAATTGAAATTATCTCAATTTCCTGCGAGTTTTGCTACCTGACCGCATCTAACTTAAACCACTGAACCCCCACCTGCGAGAGGGTCCCTGCGGCTTATGCACTAATTCTAGCGTCTAGGAGAGGGAAATACAGTTTGAAGATCCGATCCTCTAAGGGGATTACCGTGCTTGTCATTGTGGACCTCGAGATCAGTCTAACAGGGAAAGAGTCACTGTAAAGATCCTTCGTGGACGATATAATTTCTATCGGTAGTGGCGTCCTTCCTGTTACTTCTGGCGGTAGGTATAGCCGCCCTTGTGGATCCGCCATACCTAGGAAGAACACCCCAATCTTTTGTGCTTGTGCACACCACCAGAATAATTCTCCTCTCCACCTTGCCCCTGTCCTAGTGTCTAAAACCCGGTGATCTGACGCCATGGTTCTCCCTATACTCGAGCTTACACTGTGTCTAACAGCAACGCCCGTCTTTTGTGGGAGGTCCCAAACCTGCCCGTGGGGGATTCCGAGTGTTCCTGTTCCAAGTCTCTTTCACCTGACCTGAGTAATTCATGTCCTATGATCTCACTCTCTACCGCCACCCGAGATTCTGATGAGATGGACAAAGCAGAAGCCTCCCCTTTCTACCCTCCCCCTGATGACAGTCAGCTCCGCCGTCGAGCGCATCGGCTCCTGCCTTTTTCGCAAAGCGCGGGAGCCCTTCCGGCCATGTCACGCAGGAGTTAAACTAAACCAAAACGAAAACAGAAACAACTCGGAAACGACGTACAATAATCCCGCGAGCCGCCAAGATGGCTGAGGTCGCGTCGCCCCTTCGCCGCTTTAGCCGGGTGCGCCAGCTGTACATCCTGCGGTCCCCTACAAAAGGATAGGTTCCCGGGGGGCATAAGCTTTCCTTCCCTATCCCTACCGAGTTACTGACCCACGTGCGAAAGCTTTTAGATGCAATTGCAGAGGTAAGTCAGTCGAGGGCATTTGCTTGTTCGCTGTCGTATAGATACGCTTGGTTAACGCCAAGTGGACCCGAGCGTCGTCCGTCCCTTAGGGCGCTAATCTCCTAAGTACGAAGCGGACGCTGGTCGACTAGGACGGTTTCAACCGAGCATGAAACCCAACATTTCAATCCTAGTCCCTTAAACGCACCTCCAAAAGAACATTATAACATCCATACTTAAATACATTAAAAAAAAATCGACCGTAGTCGACAGGAACACATCCAATCTGAAATGATAACTGAGAGAATTCAAATCTTCATTTGATACATCCAGTATCACAAGGTCAAAAAACAATCCAACTGCCTCAGGTCGAACACCACAAAACATTCATACAACCGCCAACAAGAAGTTGACTATCGACAATAATATTAATGCAACCGACAAGGTAGTCGGTTGCCTTAGTCTTGACTTGATGCGACACGCTGCCAAAGTCATTTATTTCAGCCTACCTCAAACCCAAGATTATACACGCTCACACATGTTTTCATACTTTCTCAATCTTATTGGATGACAGGTTACCCTGCGAATGATTCTTGATCAGGGGCATTGTTTGAAGTGTTGAATGCCTCTCCCTGTAGGAAGTGGTCCAGGGTACTCCTCCTCGCCCGAGCACAAGACTCGGATCTCAGAAGTCAGGCCGTCTCCACCGAATCGGCAAGTACCCCCCCGTAGAACGGTCTACTCTGGGTCGATAACAGGGTCGGCTCCTGAAGCAACGAACCCCCGCCCCAGATGTTTTCTATAGGTAGAAGATGCGTCCACTTCATGTAGCTTTCATGTATTTTTCATTTCTCCTGAGTCGAAAAGAATTCAAGAAAGGTAAAGAACGAGAATCATTTGGACAGGTATAGGTAAATAAGGTCGTTCGGGATAGAAAGGGTCTTCCTCTGGAAAAACTAAGTCTGTTTGACCTTAGTATGCTTTATTTCAATCGAATTCATTTTATAACAGACCCACGTTCAAGTCCTCATGGACTTCCCAATTCTCGATTTATGCGAGTGTTCCTTGCGCAGGGGTCATGCTCTCCGCGCGACCGATCTCAGCCGCGTGATCTCACGATCGTACGGCTGAGATCGGCCGTGCCAAATGCCTTACGACGAATGCTCCAAAAGGAGCTTTGCCCAGTAGGCTGGCATATCAGGTTCGATCCCGATATCTGTCGGGTATGAGTCATCTGTTGTAACCTACTGGGCTAGCTCCTATCACGATAGTGATAGGAGCAACTCTTCTATAAGAAGAGCTTGCCCCTTCTCTATTCCCCTTGTCGTGGCCCTGCAGGCCCTGCCTGCCTATGGCCTTACAGGCCCTGCCTCCCTACGGCCCTGCAGGCCCTGCCTCCCTACGGCCCTGCAGGCCCTGCCTGGCCGTGACCTTCCCATGGATGGTTGCCCATCCATAGCTCCGAGGTCACCTAGCAGGTAGGCCTCGGCATTAGCCTGCTGGCCTCCCTTGGTTCAAGGTCGACCCCCGCGACCCAGGAAAAAAATCCATGGCGCGACCATTCTTTTTAGCCTATATAGACCCTGAATCACGAGGCTTAGCAGCCGCGCGACATTATTTTAGGTATAATAGGTCAACCTTTAGCATTCTCATGTCCGCACATTCCCGGGCTTCGACAAAAGCAAAACATTTCAAGTTATTGTTGCTACTCTCGGACGTCACAGGTGTCTGAACTAAAACTCGAAACTTTTAGTCCCTCAGTCACAGGTCTGGTCTGAATAACTTTTGGCAACGCCAGTCTCATCAAGTCCTTCAATCCAATGAAAGAGTCGGACAACGTCCAATGTTGAAAATCCCCGTCAGGGTATTTGCCCCGACACCGCTCTCTTCTCTCCCCTGTTAATCTTAACCGGCTTCTTTGGATCAACGCCCCTTGGTTTTCACCTCTACTCCTATATGTGCAATGATCCTCCCTGCCCGATCGCTGACTCAGATTACTCCAAACTTTTTTTTCTACCCTGTGCGATCTCTCTTGTTCTACTACCTGCTGACTGTATGGTCGATTCAGTTGTCCCTGTTCCTCCTGCCAGTAAGAGTCTGCCCCGGACGGGGGAGAGCTCCCCAATGGATGATAGTGAGGCCTCCACCCCGGAGGACCCGGATTTGAGGTTCCTGACGGACGTGTGTGGGAGGGGGAGTGGACTACAAAATAATGGTCACTCTGGTAGGCTCGCTGCGGTGGCGGTGCCTGCCATTGGGTTGACTGCACGTCTATGCCGCCCTGTCCCCCCCACCGAGTCGTGAAAGCTCCTGATGGCCCTGCTGGCCTTGGGTATACTGGTCCGACATGGGGACTGGGATAGCTCGGCCCTGCGGGCCTTGGGTATACTGGTCCGACATGGGGACTGGGATAGCTCACAGGCTGAGGTTGTGTGCATCACGGGAACAAAGGTGGGTAGTGCGGGGGGTGTGATCCTGGAGGTACCCCATGCTGGTGAAAAAACGATGGACCATGTTCTCTTTGTTGCAGGCCATTCCCACTTCCCTCAACATACGCGTGCACAGGAGGGGGGGGAATTGGCTGAGGGAGATGCAGACCGCCTAGCTGTCAGTTCCCGTAAGCCTGTCCCCCTTGAAGGTCCAAAGCTGCTGTTCCGGAGGACTGTTGTGGCCCTCCATTACCTGGATGCTGTGCTCCTTGGCCCCGTGGAGCTTCCCCCTGATTCTGCACTGGTGCTTCCTGGGGCCCCATGGGCCCGTGTACTGGCTCCTGTGCTGGCCCATTCTGTCAAGGGAGACGCGAATTCGACCACTGTCTAGTCTGACGTTCCGTCTGTAGGGCTCTGGGGCAAGAATCCTCTGTGTGAAAGTACCAGCGGCACCACTCCGTGTAAGGGGTAGCCACCTCCACCTTCCAAATCTCCCCTTTTGGGGATTCCACTGCCAGTGTGCTCTCCACTCGGTATCTTGCTTGTGGCTCCATATCAATATCAAACTTTACATTCATCAGCTTTGGTCGAGAGCAGTCAATCTCCGGTGGATGCATGTGTCTCACACCCCCACGATTCCCATTGTAGTGCACTGTAGGATTTGTAAATCACCATCCCGGCTGCCCTTGAGTTTCAAGTCAAGTGCAGTATAGTCGAAACGAGGCCCGTATTGATCAGGAACTCTCCGCCTCTGTTTGATTGTGAGTCTCTGTGGGCCATAGCGAACTTCTGGCACTCGGGACATGCGCACACGGACAGAACGTGGAAATGCATTCGTGATAATAGGCTTCACTCCACTACACAACGCTCTACATGCATTTGGATGCTTTCTCGACCCGATGCATTAAAAAAATGTTGTACTTGTCCCAATGCACCTGATCCGGAAAGCCGCAAAATGCATGTAAAATGTTGTGTAGTGGAGCGAGGCCACTGAGTTGTGGACACTTGTAGGTCCGCTTGGAACTATTATTGTTCTAAGTCTCCTCAGAGTCCGGATGTACACGTGCTCGTAGTATGCGGAAGGGCGTTGTCCAGATGTACTCGTGCTCGTAGTATGCCGAGGGGAGGGGTGGGGGGGGGAGTGGCGCGAAGACGCTTGGGGAGCAGTAACTTTGCGAGGGCTTATACCTGTAGGAGGACGTTCGCGGTTGTCACCCTCCTGAGAGATTCTTTACGAGAGAGGTTTTTGCCCGTTGGCAGGAGACCCCTCCTCCCCTGCCTAACCTTCTTTGCGATCTCAGGGAGGCCCGACCAGGAATCTTTCTCGGTCTTTGGTTGCGCCCCATTTCTCGTGTACCCACCGTAGTCTCTCTCGTTGATGGCTTGATTGTGAAGTAGAAGTGATTGGGTGGGTGTGAGTGCACGATCTCATTGGCGACGGAAGACGTTGGGCGAGTGCTGCTGCAGTCCAGAATCTATTAGCCGGGGCAGAGGTCGTGGAAAAAGGGTACGAGGTGAGTGAGAGGTGATAAAGGGGAAGAAGAGAGTCGTCGACGGAGATGAAGATCACCGCGCTGTTACTGCTTAAATCAACTGATAGCGCGCAGGAAGCGATCCTGCTTGGGTCAGTGTCAGATGTGAGCAATTTTGGCTACTTCCAGAGGGCGAGTGTTAGGGAGATGATAGTATTTGTCTCCAGAACGATTGCAAAGAGAACGCCAATTGGAAGGCGGCAGAGCGTGGAGCACGAGGGTAAGTGCTCCAATCTCTCCCTCTCTCTCTTTGTCTCTCTCTGTCTGTCTGCGTATCCGTGTGTTGTTACGTTCGCTATACACAACTCCACAGGAAAATCATGACTGGTCCTTCGGGGCATCCGTTAAAATTGGAACGCTACAGAGAAGATTAGCATGGCCCCTGCGCAAGGAAAATCATGACTGTGCCAGACTGTTTCGTCGGACTGCCACCGGCTCATCAAGAGGGTTTGTGTGTGTGTGTGCGTGCGCGCGCGCGCGCGCGCGCGTGTGTGTGTGTGTGTGTGTGTGTGTGTGTGTGTGTGCGTGTGTGTGCGTGTGTGTGTTTGCGTTTGTGTGTTTGCGTGTGTGTTTCTTTCTTTACGCTTTATTTGTGTCTTTACCTTCTGATGTTATCTTTTCCCAGCCACGAACTTTCGAGGAGTATTCACTAGTTTATCGTTGAAAAAGTGGGAATTAGGGCCTCGCTCCAGTACTCTCCAAATGTGCAAAAGGAGAATCGAGTCCTCGGCTAGAGCATGAGGAAGATGCACCACCTTAATTTTTGTCTTTATGCATGTGGAGAGTAGTGGAGCGAGGCCCTTAGAACGTACTCGCACTGGGTTTTTTCTGGACGTATCTGATCTGAATGACAATCCTAGGTAGCCAAAAAGTCCGAGTGGAAGTTTGCACTTACAGGTGATTAGCCCCGTCATCTGCCGCAGTGGCGGCGGACATTTCGTCTTTATCATCCTCTGCACTGTAATCTGGGTGGCTATGCCCGGTAATCTCCTGTAATTGCTCCTTGCTTGCCCGGATCAGGTCGTTCTTGTTCTTCCTATGTGTACCTACGCTTTCAGATTGATCTGGCACACGAGTATGAGTTGAATGCAATCGTGTGGCAGCTACTGGTTTCTGGCCGTGCTTCTCGACCTGCTGATTGCGTGGTGCACCCGCGTATCTATTGAACCACGAAAGACGCGCGCACATGGGCCCGCGGATTGGCGCATGGGCGAGCGCGTAAAGGCTGACACAGGCAAAGTTGTGCACACGTCACGCACGCGCGTACACACGAGCGCACAGACACCCGGGGAGGACAGGCACACACGTTGCAAGTACCTGCCGCGAGTGGAAATCGTTGGCTTCTTCTCCTAAGGGTGCCGCTCAGTTTGGGCGTGTCCGAACACCATTACCCAGATGTAGCCGGGACAGATTGTTGAGGTTGAAGCTCCTGACTGATGATGAGTTGGCGAAAGTTCGACGACGAAACTCTGCTGTCAAAATCGGTCTCTTTTTTTGGAGACTTCGAGGCAGACGGACATTCGAGTGTGAGCTTGGGTGCCTGAAGAGGGAGCGTGCGCTGGAAGAACTGGGCTCTCCTTGGCGTGTGCTCTCTTCCAGAGGTACGGAGGACATTAACAGTCCATGTCAGTATCAGGGTCTGACGTGCAGGATCTACTGTATCAGACCGCGGGGATTTGGTTAATGTGGGGGAGAGCCATGCCGTAAAGTCGAAGTGCCATGCGTCAGTGATGTGAAGTTTGCGCCAAACGCACGAAAATCCATGTTCTCGTCAGTGCGCGCGCGCGCGCGCGAGAGAGAGAGAGAGAGAGAGAGAATTTCGAGATTGGGAAGGAACAAACCAGACGCGTTGGATTTAGTACTAGGAATTTGGAAAGTTGTGGGGTAAAGTAAGAGGAAGTAGGTGTGGTATGTTACCCGCCGGTAGAAGCACGCTCGTACGTTGGACTTCGCTTCGAGGAACGGCTGGCGTTTTGGATCATTTTTTTTTCCGTTTATTCTATTCATTTTGTTTTGCGATTGATTCTTAGTTTGCATTGTCGTCGAGTAAGTTCCTGGCTGGCCGTGAAAGCAAACATGCTAGCTTGTGGGTGGGCGGGCGTGGTAGGTGCCTTCTTTCCCCTTGATCTTTTCGTGAAAATAAGACAACTGAGACGGGATTTTGTACGCAGAGGGCGAACTCCTTCAGGGTCGGAAGCGGATGAAGAAAGGGTATTGATGACGGATCCATTTCCTTCACGGAAACCAGGGAGAATGGAGCAATTGATGACGGATGTATTTCTTTTTCTTAGCGGCAGAAAAACCTGTGGCGTGTTTTGGTGATGTTTGCTGGTGGTGGTGGTGGTGGTGGTGACGACGATGATGATGATGACGATGATGATGGTGGATGGGCGCAGTGTGAAGACGGGATGCTGCGGTTGATTAGGATGACAGTGGCTGATGGTGATGATTGGTGAGCAGGATGAAGTGTGATGCGGCTGCTATTGCTGACGATGATAGTGATAGTTAAGCGTGGTGAGTGAGTGAGCATGGATTGTGGACGTAGAGGAATTCGTAGTGACGGAGGATGAAGAATGTGGCCACCTAACTGAGATGGAAATCCCGATGATGACGGTGCGTCCGCTGCTGCTGCTAATGATGATGATAAAGATGTTATCATGATGATAAAGATGATGATAAAGATGATGATGGTTGATGGTAATGAGGACGATGGCTCTGCTCTGCGTATTGGGTACATGGACACGATGAGGAAGTCCAAAAATGTTGAAAAAAAGGAAGGCGGACGATTGTTTAAGTGGGAATTCCGAGGTTCTGAATTTGACGTCATCAGAGTGGCACTTATCCCTGCCATTTGAACAGGTACACGCAGGAGAATCCCGATCTCCATCGTTTTTTTGGTAAGCTGCCGGGCATGCCATACCAGAAAGATTAGACGACACTGAGGAGACCAATTTGACGTAAAACTGAGGGGATGCGGTTCCAAAGTCGCCTCTGTTCTTACCGTGGAATCAAGTCTCTTGTTCTTCTTCGTTCAGAGATGGCCAAGCAGAACGTTGCAAGCAGTAGTTCTGTTTCTTATAAGTCTTGGCTCCCTTCGTTCCTTCCTCTGCTTCCTCCCCCCCCCCTTCCCGCCCGCCCTTCTCACCCCCCTCGCCCCCTTTCCCCGTGCTCCTTCTCTTCCTCCTCTTCCTCCCGCCACCTCTTTCTCCCCCCCTTCTCTCTCCTTCTCTCCCCCTACCCATCC